CGGGGGGCCCCTCCTTCGCCGCCCCCCCCGTGCCCCTGCGCCCGGCGCCGCAGAGCGTCTTCAACAGCGACCCCTTCGCAGCACCCCCGCAGATCCCCACGCGCCCGGCGCGCATCCCGCCCGGAATCCCGCCCGGCGTGCCCAGGTAAGAGACTCCGTGCGGGAAGTGGGGGTGTTCCCGGCTTCCCAGGGCTCCCGCTTGTCCCGGGATAGCGTCCGTGCTGCGGCACCGGCTCCCGCCACAGCYGGATTCCTGCTGCGGGTCCCTCCGTGCTCCGGGTTTGGAGCCGCCGGAGCAGCTCCCTATTCCCACCCTGCTGGAGCTCTCCCCTATGGACACACTGGTCCTTGCTGGCGCCTCCCAGCATGCTCCGGGTCTGGCATTCCAGAGCTCGGGAGCGTGGCTGGCAGGCAATGGGGATCCCGTGGGATTCAGTCCCCGTTACCCACCTCCCGGGCACTCTGGTTTTCAGGAGCGGGACTGTGTGGGGTGGCGCATCCCAATCCCGCCCTTCCCGCTCACGTTCCCATTCCCTCCGCAGCAGGAGACCCCCCGCGGCGCCGACCCGACCCACGATCATCCGCCCGGCCGAGCCCTCCCTGCTGGATTAACCGCCCGGGGGGGCCGCGGCGGCCGCCCCCGCTCCGGAGCAGGGAGAAGGGCAGGATCCGCCGCGGCTCCGCTCCCCCAGCCCAGGGAGCCGCCGGATCGCCCCTGCAGGATCATGGATTGGGTGGGGGGAGCGGGGGGGGCTGAACATTGCACTTTGTCCCCCCTTGTCCCCATCCTGCAAGGAGCAGCCTCGGAGCGGCCGCGGAGGCCGAGCCCCTTCCTGCCTCTTCCTCCCCCCGCCAGAATTTTTTATTAATATATACTATATGAAACATAGTGATTTTTGGTTTCCGCCCCCATTCGATTGCTAATCTGCCCATAGTCTTTCACTTTTTATAGCTTGGAGGGAAAAAAMCAGAGATTTATGCCCAGAACGGGCCGGGAACGCAGCTCGCGCCGCGCTCATCACTCTAATCCGCGGCCCGCGCGCGGGAGCCTCCGGCCCCACGCCCTCCTCAGGTATCCCGGTGCCGGCCCGGCCTTCCCGGCGGAGTCTCCCGGCTCCCCCGGGCAGCAGACGCTGTAAATATTTTTAAAGACTTGTGATAATTGTATAGAAAAATACGCAGAAAAACAAAAAAGACAAAAAAAAAAAAAGAGAGAAGTAGGTTTTGAAGAACAGGGACCGCAGCCCTGGGCCGGGGAGGGGGCTGCGGCCCGGCCTGCCTTAACTCTGCCCCCGTTCCCAGAGGCTTTTCCGTAGGGATCCGCTCCTGTGCGGGCGGATCCGGTGGGAGCAGGGGCAGCCTCTCCCCCCGCCCCCTGTGCCATGGATGAAATGAGAGCAGCTCCAGCCCCTTCCCTCGGTTCTGCCACCGTGTAAGTGCCTCCGGTCTGTATCCTATTAATAAACTAAAAAAGGAAAAAAAAATAAAGGGAAAAGCTCTCCTGGTGGAAGGTGTCAGCGTGTCCTGGTGTTTGTGGCGGCCGCGCACCCAAGGGTGCTGGGTAGACAGGATGGGGCCCCCTCTCCCGCTGCCTGTTCCCCGGGAAGGAGGGAGCCCCAGGGCAGATGTTCCAGGCTGGACCAGGGATCCCTGAAGACGGAGCTTARAGGGAAGCAGAGCTGGGACACCAGATCCTTCTGCAGAAGGTGGATTCGGAACCGTTTAAGGAATTCTTGGAGGAGGGAATGCGATGGCAACACCCCAAGGGCGGGAATGGGTGAGAAGGTGGCGGATATTCCCTGCCCGCCGGAGGGAAGGGAGGGGAGAGGGAGCATCCCAAGGCCCCAGCCGGGATGGCAGCGGCGGGATCGGGATCCGGCCCATCCCAAGCGGCGGCGGGGTTCGATCCGGCGGGAAGACGGCGCCGTCACGTGCGCGGGCGCCGCTCGGCCGGGAAGAGGCTGCGCAGGGAGAGCACCTGCAGCAGCGGCACGAGCAGCAGCGCGCCCGCGTTCAGCGCCGACCAGAAGTCCACGCGGCCGCGGTTGCTCTCCTGGAGGCGCCGGTCGCGCGCCTCGAACGCGCGCAGCAGCGTCTGCAGCTGGATGCTGCGCTCCAGCCGGCCCCGCATCGTCTCGATGGAGTCCTGCGGAGCGCACGGCGCCGCTGGCATCCCGGGATCGGCCCCGCCGGGATCATCCCCATCCCGTACCGGGATCACCCCCCTGCCSCTTGCAGGGATCATCCCCTGCCTTGCGGGATCATCCCCCGCCTCCCTGCACTGGGATCACACCCTCCTCCTCCATCTGGGATCATTCCCACCCCCGGGCCGGGATCATCCCTCTCCTTGCCGGGATCATCCCCCTGCTCCCCACACTGGAATCATGTCCCCTGCGGCCAGTATCATTCCCACCCCCCAGCTGGGATCATCCCCTCCAGTCCGGATCATCCCCCCTGGACTGGGACCATTAACCCCCCCAGCCGGGATCATCCCCCCTGGACTGGGATCATTAACCCAGCCTGGATCATTCCCCCTGGGCTGGGATCACCCCCCTCCAGCTAGGATCATTAACCCCTCCATCTGGGATCATCCCCCTCCGCAGGGATCATCCCCCCAGCTGGGACCATTAACCCAGCCGGGATCATTCCCCCTGGACTGGGATCACCCCCTCCGCAGGGATCATCCCCCCACCTTGATGTCCTCGATCCGGACGTCCAGGGCGTCGTCAGGCTCGGCCGCCTCCAGCCGGGAGGCGCCGGCGCCGCCGTCCAGGAGCAGCTCCAAGAAGACGAGCTTCTCGGAGACGGCGCTGAAGGAGTTGTCGAAGCAGAGGCGGTAGTCGCCGCCCTCCGTGGGCTCCACGCTGCGGGCACGGGGACGCCGTGGGGACCCCGCGGGGACGCCGTGGGGGGGGACACGGCAGGGGGACGTGGGGACATGTAGGGCTATGGGGAGGACGTGGCGGGGACACGGGACGCGGAGCAGGCACGGGGGGGACAGGCCGGACCGGGAGGACTTCGTGGGGGGACGTGGTGGGGACACGCTGGTGGCRGGAGGGTCACACTGGGACACTGGTGATGTGGGTGATGTGCTGGAGGTGCTGGGGACACGGGGAACACGTTGGGGACAGGGAGAACTGGGGGACACACTGGGGACACGCTGGGAACATTGGGGATGAGCTGGGGACACACTGGGGATGCGCTGGGGACAATGGGGAGGTGCTGGGGACATTGGGGACACACTGGGGACATTAGGGATGAGCTGGAGACACGTTGGGGACACACCGGGGACACATTGAGGATGAGTTGGGGACAATCGGGAGGTGCTGGGGACATTGGGGACATGCTGGGAACATTGGGGATGCACTGGGGACACACTGGGGACACTGGGGACACACTGGGGACGCACTGGGGACACATTGGACACATTGGGGTCCTTGGGGCACACTGGACACACTGGACACAGTGGGGACACTGGGGACGCACTGGGGACACTGGGGACACACTGGGGGGACACTGGCCACACTGGGGACACACTGGGGATGCACTGGGGCCACACTGGGGCCACACTGGGGACACTGGCCACACTGGGGACCCTGGGGACACACTGGCCACACTGGGGACACACTGGGGATACTGGGGACACTGGGGATGCGCTGGGGACACACTGGCCACACTGGGAACACACTGGGGTGCACTGGGGACACACTAGGGACACTGGGGACACACTGGCCACACTGGGGACGCGCTGGGGACGCGCTGGGGACGCTGGGGACAGTGGGGACGCACTGGGGACGCACTGGGGACGCACTGGGGACGCACTGGGGACGCACTGGCCGCACTGGGGACGCTGGGGACAGTGGGGACGCACTGGGGACAGTGGGGACGCACTGGGGACGCACTGGGGACGCGCTGGCCGCACTGGGGACGCTGGGGACAGTGGGGACGCACTGGGGACAGTGGGGACGCACTGGGGACGCACTGGGGCCGCACTGGCCGCACTGGGGCCGCTGGGGACAGTGGGGATGCACTGGGGACACACTAGGGACACTGGGGACGCGCTGGGGCCGCACTGGCCGCACTGGGGCCGCTGGGGCCAGTGGGGCGCTCACGTGTGCAGCCCGTCGGCGCGGCGCCGCTCGCTGACCAGCAGCCGCCCCGCGGGGCTCTCCAGGGTGAAGTCGACG